CAGAAAACCATTTATTGACAGCAGAGAGTCAATAATCAACCCAAAATTAATTAATTATTGTTACAAAAGCTTCCTCACAAAGTTAAGCAGCTACAACCAAAATCTGCATGTTAAAAGATGCCGTTTGTTGGTGGAATTAGGCTAAAAAAATCAAATGAGGTTTAATCAAAGTGATCTCTGTTTGGATTATGATGTTTATGGCTTGTTTTTATGTTTATTTAGACTTTATTCACCTGTAAAAAACGCCATTAGATAAAAGGATGGAGGCAGAAATGAGCCGTTATTGTAGCTTATTCTGATTATTTCTACTAACAAAAGGATCCGCTCAGAATCATATAAGATATTAACTGCATTTTTGTTAAAATGCATCAGTAAAAGAGGCCTGTAGAAGACCAAAAACAGACGCAAAACTCCAATAATTTGCCATAAAATGGCCAAAGCCAAACAAAAAACAGGGCCAAACTAATCAGAAAAGGACAAGAAAAAGACAGAAATCTGAGAAAAGGTACACCAAAAGACTAGAAACTAACCATAAAATGGACTAAAAACTCCAATGATCAGCTATAAAATGGCCAAAACAGAGAAAAACACCAAAAACAGACACAAAATTAACAAATAATTAGCAACAAAATTACCAAAAAGTGCAGCAAAAGATCAGAAAATTAACTAAATTGAGACAAAACTCAAATAATTAATCATAAAATAACCAAAACATGGAGCAAAACTCCAATAATTAGTCATAAAATGACAAAAAAAGTGCAGTAAAAGATCGGAAAATTAAGCAAATTGACTCAAACTCCAATAATTAGCCACAAAATGACCAAATCATGGAACAAAACTCCAATAATTATCCATAAAATGACCAAAATGTGTAGAAAAATATCAGAAAATTAAGTAAATTGACACAAAACTCCAATAATTAGTCATAAAATGACCAAAACATGGAGCAAAACTCCAATAATTAGCCATAAAATGACAAAAACATGGAGCAAAAAGCCAAAAAAAGACATATAACTCCAATAATTCACCATAAAATGACCAAAACGTGGAGCAAAAAGCCCAAAACAGATAGAAATCTCCAATAAATAACCATAAAATGAACCAAAAAATGCAGCAAAAGTTCATAAAATTAACTAAATTGACCCAATCTCCAATAATTAGACATAAAATGACCAAAAAGTGCAGTAAGAGTTCAGAAAATTATGTAAATTGAACCCAAAAACGTGGAGCAAAAAGCCCAGAACTCCACTAAATGACCGTTATATGTGTTTACGTGCTGGGTCCTTTCCCCCCAGGGCCTGTTCCTGATCAGTA